GTTCCATCCACCATCGACCTTCCCCTTTAGGACCTATGGTTCCTCAACGGTGTCTTCTCCTCCCTTGCAGACCCAGCTGTCTCTCCCAATGTCTACCCATTGCTGCCCTGTGAGCAAACGGACAGTGTCTCCATTGGCTGCTTGGCCAAGGACTTCTTCCCGACCCCCATCTCCCTCACTTGGAACTCCAACGTGCATGGAGACAACGAGACCTTCCCTGTCCAGTGGATCGAGAGCTCCTACAGCGTCAGCTCCCAGTTGACCATCCCAGCCACCAGTCTCAGTGGGGAGACCTTCCAGTGCAAGGTGGAACATAGCAGCACCCACAGCACCAAAACGGTGACCATCAGAGGTGGGTTGGTGGCATCTAACATGGGTTGGAGGTGGTCCAAGCCTTCCGTGATGGCTTGATGGCCATCTGCTATGGGTTGATGGGCATCTAGATGGGTTCTCCTTGGTCTAAACCTTGGTTCCTGCCTGATACAATGGCTTGGTGGACATCTAGATGGGTTGGAGATGGTCTAAACCTTGCTCCAGGCCTTCCATGATGGCTTGATGGACACCAAGATGGGTTCTGCTTGGTTCTCCTTGGTCTAAACCTTGGTTCCAGCCTGATACAATGGGTTGATGGACATCTAGATGGGTTGATGGACATCTAGATGGCTTGGACATGGTCTAAACCTTGCTCCAAGCCTTCCATGATGGTTTGGAGAACATCTATTATGGGTTGATGGACATCTGCTATGGGTTGATGGACACCTAGATGGGTTAACCCTGGTCTAAACCTTGGTTCCAGCCATATACCATGGCTTGGTGGACATCTAGAGGGGTTGATGGACACCCACTGTGGGTCAATGGACATCTACTATGGGCTGATAGACATCTACTATAGGTTGATGGACACCCACTATGGGTCGATGGACATCTATGGGCTGATAGACATCTACTATGGGTTGATGGACACCCACTATGGGTCGATGAACATCTACTATCGGTTGATAGACATCTCCTATGGGTTGGTGGACACCATTATAGGTTGATGGACATCTCCTATGGGTTGATGGACATCTACTATGGGTTGATGGACACCATTATGGGTTGATGGACATCTACTATAGGTTGATGGACACCATTATGGGTCAATGGACACCCACTATGGGTCAATGGACATCTCCTATGGGTCAATGGACACCCCTCTCCCCGAGCCCCCCATAACCTCCTTGTCCCCCTTTCAGGTGACGACATCCTCCCTTCGCAGCCCTCGTTGTCCATCAAGCTCTTGGGCGACCCCAACCAGCAGGACCCGGAGAAGAAGGTCCTTTTGCTGTGCCTGGTGGAGGGCAAAGGGGCTGAAGAGGCCGAGGTGGAGTGGTTGGAGAACCAGGCTCCGCTGGACGCGGAGCAGGAGGACATCAGGTGCGAGCAGTGCTCTGGGGACGTGGCCACCAGCCTGAGGAGCAAGGTCAACGTGAGCAGGACCAAGTGGGAGCTGGGCACCGAGTTCTCCTGCCGAGTGTCCCACCCCAAGGACACCCCCAAGGTCCTCAACATCAGCAGCTTCTGCCTGGGTAGGTGGTGGGGATGGGGGGAGGTGGATGGAGGGGGATGGAGGTGGATGGAGATGATGGAGATGGGTGATGGATGGAGATGATGATGGATGGAGATGATCGGAGCCATCCGCTATGGAGAAGGATGGAGGTGGATGGAGATGGATGGAGGTGGATGATGGATGATGGTGGATGGAGATGATGGAGAAGGATGGAGGTGGATGGAGGTGGATGGAGATGGATGATGGATGGAGGTGGATGGAGATGATGGAGATGATGGAGATGGATGATGGATGGAGAAGATGGAGGTAGATGGAGATAGATGAAGGTGGATGGAGGTAGATGGAGGTGGATGATGGATGGAGGGGGATGGGGGTGGGTGGGGGGAGATGGGGGGGGGGGGTG